CAAAAATAGTTGATCATGAACTATTCTTTTATTGAAATTGAGTATTGAAAAAATATTGACATGAGATGTGAAAAGAAAATCTCAGTTGGTGTGTGTTTTGTATTGTAGATGGTGTAGCAGTATTTTCCTCCTCCAAGAAAGGAAACCTGTGGCCTGTGTATGTTGCAATCAATGAATTGCCAGTTCAGCTAAGGTAAAAATGTTAATGTTTGTTGATAAGTTAGAGCAGCTTATAATTTAAAAATTCATTGGTGGATGTAAACTATGGTCTAAGAAAGGACCACTGTGTAATTTGTAATATATCATTTGATTGTTACATAAAGGTTTGCGTTCCAATTCGTAGGCACATTTATATGTTTTCTTGTTCACTTCAATTCATTTTTAAGCACCAATGTATCATATTGTCATATATTTATATATAATACATATTGTTATTATAAACAGTTACAATTGAGATACTGGGGTTTATGTTCCGAGTGCTTACAAGTCAGGAAATGTATTGTGATTTTTAGGTTTACAAAGAAGTACATTCTTCCATGTTATCTTCACTGCCAGATAGAAAAGCCAAACATGCTCACCTATTTATCCAACCTGATGAAAACAATTGCAGTATTGAGCAGTGAAGGTAATTGAAAAAATAATGTGTCAGCTTTGTACAGCTCAAGTTCAAAGATATGTGGTAGATCTGTATGATGTTGTGATTTAGAGTGTTTCAAATTTGTATAATTTGATTTTGAAATCTGTTGATTAATGCTAGGTCCAATTTCTTTATTGACTTGCCCGTCATGAAAATAATTAATAAAGTGCAAAGAAAGGAAAAGAAATTTAGATAAATCTTATACAGATCCTCCGATATTGAGTGCCATGATCCTTTTAGTATCTCTTATATTAGAAATAAAACTTACATGGTTATTATGAAGTTACTTTTGTTTTAGGAATGGAAGTGATAACTTGCTTTGGAAAGAGGACAGTGAAGTGTCAACTTCTTGCATCATGTCTAGATTTACCAGCAAAGGCTCTAGTAGCTAACATGAAACAGTTCAATGGTAAATTTGGTTGTGTTAGCTGTTTTGATGAAGGACATTCAAACCCCAGAACTCCAATGCACAGATACTACCC